GCATGACTTTTTCGTGGCAATAGAGAACAAGCAATTTGGAAACCTGATGAGACTTCGGTAATAAGATTGGTCTTATGCTTGACTCTATGACGGATGCATTTTTTATACGACTTTGACACCTCAAAATGCCCTTTTCGTCTACAAAGAGCTGAAATTGCGAAACGTACAAAGGGGGTTTTTTGTCCCCTTTTGATTGTAAATAATCAATTTCCTTACAAAAGAATTCACCTTGAATTGAGCGTATAAGAACATTTTCTGCGTTAGCAAATTCTTCTATATTTATCTGATTTTCTCGCTGACAAGTATTGTTTTTTAACGATGCGCGTAAATTATGTATAAAACGAAGTACCCATGCTAAAATACGGACACATTTTTGGTAAGAACCAAACCTTTCAAAATCTACAACGTTGCCAACTTTGGCGTTTTCCTTAGTTGCTATAGCATGCGTGATATTGGGGCTACATTTTACTCTTTCCTCTAAAGCGGAACCGGATTCGAAAATATCTTCTTGCTTAGGCCATTTTGTGGGTGGCTGTTTTAGAAACCCCGGACCCTCCCACCAAAAAAGATTTTGCTCTAACTTGGGACCAAATATACCCCTTGACGGTAAATCAGCTGGGTTTTGAGATCCCGGGCAATAAAACCATTCATCGCGGCTTGAAGTTCGTAAAATATCCGACACGCGATGGCGTACAAATTGCTTCCAAACCTTATTGTTCTTTATCCAGCAAAGGGTGCAAACCGAATCTACCCAATAAAATACTTTGATCGGCGTGCCGTGAAGCTCCTCCCCAAGAGTACCTTTTACTGTGCTGATTAATTTTGCGAGTAACTGTGCCCCTAAAAGCTCTAAACGTGGTATGCTTTGTTTTGTTAGAGGACAAACCCTGGCCTTGGCAGTGACAAACTTGATGCTTACCTCCCCCGTATCGTACACAATGCGGAGATAAACAATTCCAGCGTAAGCAGTCTCGCTGGCATCTGAAAACCCATGTATTTCGACTTGGCTTACTATTTTACCTGGGTCAAAAAAACATCTTGGCATGCGAATCCCGTCTAAACGACTTATTTCCGAAATGAAACGATCATATTTTTCCCTTGCTTCTCCTGTAAGCTCTTCATCCCAACCCCATTTGTCTACGCAAAGTTCCTGAAAGAGCACTTTCAAATTGATGGTATACACACTAAGACAACCGATCGGGTCAAAAATCTTGGTAACTTTAAAAGAGAGCGCTTTGTGGGCTTAAGTGTTTTTGCTAGTTCTATAATGGACCCCAGATCAAAAAACAGTTCATCCTTTTTACTTTCCCAATTTACTCCAAGGACCTTGTTATTATTTTCCCTTTGAGGTGGGCCTATTGTTTGCTGAGCGAAGGATTGATCATCTTGTATGATCTCCTTCGCATTATCACCATTGGGTACGTTACCTGCTTCCACCTTTTTGATTTCATGTAACAAAGCTGTGTCATTAGTTTTAAATTTGCGAAGGTTAAACCCACCTTCGGACAAAATCTCCCGTGACTTATGGAAAATCTCTAACGCCTCATCAATAGAATTTGTGCTACATGATAAGTCATCAGCATAAAGCCGATCTAACACTTTAACAACACGAGGAAATCGATTAGCATATTGAGCAATGTGTTTCTTAATTGTGGCTCCCAGTATAGATGGCGATGGTCTTAAACCAAACACCAGTCTACAATACTTATACTGAATAACCGTTGGATTCGGCTTACTAATGTCGTCATACCACAAAAAACGTAAAGCATCCCGGTCTTTTTCATCAATTTCAATCTGAAGGAATGCCTTTTCAATATCAGCTATTATAGCAATGGCATGTGAGCGGAAACGTAATAACGTATCGAATAATGGCGGCATGTAATTATCACCAAGTTCTAAACATTCATTAAGAGATAAAGCTTCCTTGTGCGATTTCGCACTTCCATCAAAAACAACACGAAGTTTTGTTGTTTCACGATCTCGTCGAATTACACCATGGTGACTCATAAAATGAGGATTACCCTGATTCTCCTCCTCCACAGGGACTTGCTCAATTATTCCGTTTTTTAATTGCTCTTTGAAAATGTTATCATATTCAGATAATAATTCAGTGTTTCCTTTTAACCGGCAAAGCAAAGATTTTAAGCGATTTAATGCCAAGTTATAATCATCATTAAGGCAAGATATATCAACCTTCCAAGGAAGGCTTACCTGGTACCTTTTACCATTAAAGGTGATTTCAAATTGCTCGTCTTGTTTGTCTTCATTTGTGGGTTCACTCCCCTTGTCAATCCCGGATGATTCTTGTTTCCAAAACTCGCGAAGCGTTTGTGTTATTTCCTCATTTTCTTCGACAGGCCTTCCAACTGACGTATCTAAAATCAAATTAGAAGTCACATTAGAATAGGTTTTAGGCTCCAAGGATCCTGGTACTTTTCCCGAAAGTAGCCATCCTAATTTGCTACTTACTGCTATTGGCCCTGATGTACCTCTAATGACATCACCAATGATTACATCATATAAATAATCATTACCAATAAGCAAATCAATGCGCCTATTTTGCTCGCTTAGCTTCTTGTCCGCTAGATTAAGGCCTATCAAATGCTGATACTTGCTTACGTCTATGCGCGTATTTATAGGCGAACAAATAGACTGATAGCTTATTGCGCTTATCAAAATTGGCGTCTCATCTATTCCTGTCTCTAACATTAACTTAACGACGTCACATTTCTTGCGTACTGATTTCTCAGTTCCAAATGTGTTCAAATTTAAGTTTTCCTGTCTTTCGACTTCCAGATTTAGTTTTCGTCTGACTTCTTCAGAGATGTAACTTCGTTGGCTCCCACTATCGAAGAAAACATTGATTTTCATCCTCTGAGCCTTGTCTGCCCCATAAACATACGCAGTTGCCGTCTGCAGCAAAACTTCTTGTTTTCCTGTAACACTGGTAGTTACTTTTGTTTCTTCCTCCGTTTGTTTTGCTCCTTTGTAGCAAATTGACTCGTGGTGAAAATTTCTGCCACATTTTTTGCAATTTCGATTTTCCCGACACTTTTTTGTCATGTGTCCAGATTTTAAGCAGGAAAAACATCGTTCGGTCTCCAATAGGATCTTCTTTCTACCCGTTATTTCCTGGACTTCTTTGCAGCTTGACGGAGAGTGTGCATGCCCACAATAAACACAATCTTGCACTTTTTCGTCTTTCGTCAAAAATGTCTTCGTAGTGCCTTGTGGTGATTTTGATCCATATCCTGAAGTTTTGTCACATTTCTTTTCGACCGGCTTGATGTTATCGCTCAGTTCCCTGGCTTCAATTTCCTTTTTGACGATCTCCAATATTTCTTTTATCGGCCAAACTTCCTCGGTCGTCTTTCTGGCGACATGCAATGTAATTTCTCGTGGCATTCTTGCCATAAGGATTGGTACTAATAAACTGCCATAACTTGCAGAACTCATACCAAGGGCTTCAAGCCCCCTTACGTGTACATTTATGCTGTCGTAAATGAAGCGCAATTGCTTCACGTTTTCGTTTGGGCAGTTTTGTAGTCCAAGGAGAGCCTGCATATGCGTCGAGATTATTTGTTGTTTGTTGCCAAACCTTGCCTTCAAAATTTCCATTGCATTTAAATAATTTTGTTCCGTCAGTTCGAGTCCTGATACTGCACGGTATGCTGGACCCTCCAACAAATTCACCAAGTAGTTGAGCTTATCAACTGCAGTTATGCTTTCGTTTTTATCTATGGCATTCTCGAAACTCTGCCAAAAGGACATGAAACGTGTTATATCTCCGTTAAATCGTGGGAGCGTTATTTTTGGCAGACGAATGGCAACAGAACCCATGGTAACCCCGCTTGTATTGAGACCATGTTCGTTGTTTGTTGCTTGTTCAACGTTTTCAGCTTCTCTGGAAGGCGTTGACGTAATAATTTGTGTCGTTCCACTCCCAACTCCGAATGCATTGGTCTGAGCGTAACGACCGTCTTTAAAAGCTTGAATTCTTCCCAGAATTTCATCGATTCTGAAATTCAGCTCCGTCGTTTCATCGATTTCTTTTTCAATGTTAACTTCTGGACATAATTCCAGTATCTTTTCGTTTAGTCCGTTCACATACGTTTGCTTTTCTCGAAGAGACTTTTGTGCCGTTTCTAAACGAATCACCTTCTCGACTTGTTCTCCATTTTCATTAATTAGTTCTTCAAGAAGAGCCGTGGCTTGTCGTTCAAGCTTCGTAATGGAGGTTCTATTTCCTCCTCGTATTGCTAACAATTTCTTTAATTGTCCACTGTTACCTTCTGTATCAGTGGCCATGATTTCGTCGTATTCCGTGCCCCACGTTGGGCGCCATTATATTTTGAACATAGCTTCGGTAGAGCGTAGACGTGAATGAAACTCCATATCGTTGATTTTATCTTTAAATATATACAAAACGTGACTATATACAGCTATAACGTAAACGTAACTTGTTAGCCCATCATAAGTTTGTAGCGTGACTTTATCGTAACTTCACTACTTCAAACAACTTAACCTTACAATATAGGGCGTGAATATATATAACGTAAGAAGACTGGGACGAGTAGGAATCCCCCATGATGGCTTGGGCTGCGAAATATATTGACTTCACAACAAGGGAAAAGAGGTAAGAAGTGTAGAGTTACATGGATTCTCAGACGCTAGCGAGAAAGCTTATGGGGCTGTGGTGTATTTACGATGTGTTTACGAATCTGGAGAGGTCCAAGTTAACATAATTGCTTCCAAGTCAAAAGTGTGTCCAATTAACAAACAAAGCATTCCAAGACTAGAGCTTTTAGGTGCATGTTTACTTGCCAAACTTATGCAAACAGTTAAAATTGTTTTGCAGGACGAGCTCCAGGATAAAGTCATTGACACATTTTATTGGACTGACTCATATTCTACTCTTTGTTGGATTCGCAATGTGAAACCTTGGACACAATATGTTAGGAACAGAGTTTCGAAAATTTTGAGTACTTCTAAGCAAGAAAAATGGTTCCATTGTCCTGGGGTAGATAATCCGGCAGATCTGCCTTCCAGAGGAAAACATGGGGGTCTCGCTGCCAATTCGTTCTGGTGGGAGGGTCCACAATTTCTTAAGTTAGAACCACAGGAATGGCCCAAGTCCCCTAATGGCAGTGAGTTGGTCGTAGAAGAAGCATTGCAGGAAAGGGTTAAACAGGGGCCTATCATTACCCACGCAATATTTACTTCAAAGGGGAAATTCGAAGAACTTATTGATATAATGCGTTTTAACGACAAGGGTAAACTGGTACGAAGTTTTGGATGGGTTATAAGTTTTTTCTCCAACTTGAAAAGTGCGGTACAAGGTACTGAAATAAATCGTAGCGAAGGTTTAAGTGCCCCGGAAATTCAAAGGGCAGAAACAGTATTAATACGGTCAGTTCAGCACGAGTCATTTTCATCTGAAATAAAATATTTGTTAAGCTCGGAATCAGGCAAAAAGGGTACGAAAACACCGCTGTACATAAACCAGTTTAATCTATTTTTGGATAAGGACATGATTCTTCGATGTAGAACACGTGTAGGAAAGTCTACAATTGCTGAAAGTAGCAAACGACCTGTATTTTTGCCTGCTAAAAGTAAGTTGTCGGAGCTAATAATTAAGGATTGCCACGATAAAGTGTTCCACAACGGTGTAAAGGACACGTTAAACTTAATGAGACAGCGTTATTGGGTTCTCCGGGGGAGGGAACAAGTAAGAAAACTCGTACGTCGTTGCATTTTGTGTAAGAGACTTGAGGGTTTACCCTTCAAGACCGTATACAGCCCTGAATTACCAGAGTTCCGCATTGATAGTGGTCCGCCCTTTACAAATGTAGGCATAGACTTTGCGGGACCATTAATGGTAACAGGTAGATGGAATAAAGACGAACAAATTAAATGCTATCTGTGCTTGTTTACGTGTGCTGCTACGAGAGCAGTTCACCTTGAAGTTGTCGAATCATTAAGCGTTGAAGATTTTATTTGTGCTTATCGACGCTTTAGTGCTCGTAGAGGGACACCCTCATTGTTGATTTCCGACAATGCCAAAACCTTTAAGTCGGCCTCCAAGGAGATCACTAAACTACTGCGTTCTCCCAAACTAACTGAATATTTTACGATAAGAGGTGTAAAATGGAAGTTTATCGTAGAACTCGCACCATTTTACGGGGGGTTTTGGGAGCGACTAATAAGAAGCACGAAACGTTGTCTGACGAAAGTCGTGGGTCGAGCGACACTAAGTTATGGGGAATTGGAAACAATTGTCGTGGAAATTGAAAGAGTAATAAATTCACGACCCCTAACCTACGTTTTTGATGATACGGACGGGATATCAT